AGCAACCACCTCCGGCTTAGCCTATATTGTTTGGGAATTATGTGAATCCTCTACTAGCACTGGTTCAAAATATTGCGCATTCGACGGAAACTAGAAATCTTAACTGATTTGTCACAAAATATTTCAAAGGAAAACACGTAATTAACATAGACTAGACTAAGTTACCATACTTAATTACATGGCCACCTATAACATATAAATTTGGAAACAACTTGTAGCGACGTGAATTTCTTTCTTATAAAAAAAAATTTGGGGCAAAATTATCGTTTTAAAATATGAAAATTTTCTATCGCTACATAAAGGATCGTTCTTTATCTTACAGTGGATGTGCTCACAGAAAACAAATCGACTATGAACTGTATAAATTTTATGTTGAAGCCGTGTAGTATGGAAAGTACCCACATAAGTGAAAGGTCATACGACTTTAGGATAACGTCATTGATGTGACTCCTAAAGCTTGCTTTCTAACCCTCTTTTTATATTTACATAATTGTTAAATTATATTATTAAATTTGTTATGGCAAATGATAAAATATCTACACATAAATCATTCATGTTCACCAAAACATATAGTGGGAAACAATCCTCGATAAACAAAATTGTATATTCACGAAGAATACTAAAATTGGAGTGACAAGAGTTTGAACTATCCATATTTCATAGAATTATTCAATAAACCACACCAACCATTATAATGAATTATTCAATATTTAAATGCATTTACAAAAAGTACGGAAGTTCAAGACACAAATCAACAAAATAAAGGTTACACAATTTTCCAATTATGGTAGGAGTGAACACAACTAAAATTAAAGTGACATAACTTGTTGACCTTGAAATTCGATGAGAAATGTGGTCGATGTTTAAAATAAACAAGTTTATATCGATTATTTCACTTTGAATGTGTCCTAAATGTGTGGTAATTACTTTCAGTCTTTGTGTGGTAATAATGTTTCATGTAGCAGACTTTCAAATCCAATCTAGCATAATCACTACAACAAAAGTGGTCTTTTAAGGCATTCGTTTATTGCGTGCATCTAGCGCATGCCGTAAAAATAAACCAATTACAGCGTGCGCTAGATGCACGCCATTAAAAACTTAAGTTATTAACTATTTACGGCGTGCTTCCTTCGGACGTTGTAAATGTACACTTTACAAGGCGTGCAATAAGTGCCCGTTTCTGAGACTTTTTTTCCCAAAATATATAACAGAAATCTCATTACAATTGAATGGCTGAACCCCTCCCCCTTCAATGTCTTGCTGCCGGCGATTGAAGTGTGACATCAATTTTCATTCATTTTTCCCTGTCGCCTTCAGCCTCCAGCCCTAACCTCTCGATTCGCCACCTCCAGCAGCCTAGCCAACCAGTCATAGATGGAGCCATGGCCACCTCCAGCAGCCCAGCCAACCAGTGACTGATGGGAGAATCCTAATAATTTGTAGCCGTAAATTGGTACGCCAATAATGATATTACTGAACAATTTATTATTTTACTTTTTATGACTAAGTAATTCTTCTTTTATAATTATTGTATGTCATGAGCCCAAATTAAGAGAATTAGAATGGGGAAAGGGATAAATGGAAAATTAATAAGAATGGGGAGGGGTGAAAATGAGGAAAATGCAGAAGTATTGAGAGAGAGAGAGACGAAGAGGAAGTGGAATTTAATCCATTCTGAGACCTCCGAGGTTGCCTTGTCAAGTGGAGAATCTGACCAATGAATGCACCATTGACATCCAATGTGAGTTCTACGATTCACCAATCTAGATTGTAGGATGTTTAAGAGGTAGCGTTCGTGCTGTAGGGGTTGGCTATCACTAGGTAATTGTAGCACAGGCATGCTGTCATTCCCCAGTTTTTTCTTCAATAGAGAAGCACAAAATTTTGGATGAATTTTCAACCCTTCTTGTAAAGCCAACTAATATGCTACTGCTCCAACTTTCTTCACAACTGGATATGGGTCAATGTATCTCTCACTTAACCTGTAGTTAGCTCGACATTCCACAGATTTCTGTGTATATGGATGAAGTTTCAGGAAAACACAATCGCCTTTCTCAGAAGACCTCTCTATTCTATTTTTATCTGCGTAAAGTTTCATCCTAGCCATGGCCTGAGATAGGCTCTCTTTTAACTGTTGGTTTGATTTGTATCACCGTATCTCTCCCACTAGCCTCTTTATTTCTGTTTTTAGAATAAAAGGGTATAGATAGGGTCTCATTCTAAATGACTGTGCTCCCTCCTTCAAGGGAATGTAATGATAGTGTAATCTAGGAGGAGGCAGCTCTGTTGGAGAATCAAAATCTGTCCAATGAATTCAAACTCGATGGTGGAAATTATTTGGAGGGGTTTCAATAGGTGATAACACATCTGAGAGGAAAATTAATGTTATGCCCCCCAATAGCCAGAAAGTAGCAAAAGAGGATACTAAATTCACCATCTAGGCTGAGGAGGATTTCTCATATTATGCCCTGTTAATCAGTTGAACTTGCAAGTTATTCTTCAAGCAGTAATTAAGTTTACAATGTCTAACAAGAGACATATTCAATCCATCTATCTTAATTGAGATATCACCGATTAGAATTATCATCAATATAAACAATAAGCATAGCAATCTGACCATCCATTGCATGCTTAAAAATCTCGGTCTAGTCACCTTGACTTAGAGTATAGCCCATTCTTAAAACAGCTTCGAAAAATCATTCAAAGTGAGCTCGTAAGGAATTATTTTTAAATTTGCAAACTTTATAAATCCAAATGACTCCTCAAAATTAGGTGGAACATCTATACAAACTTCTTCATGTAATACGGTGTCAAGGTATGCATTTTTGCATCAAGTTGTTGCAAAGGCTAATCGTAGTTAGAAGAAGAAAAATATTTAATTTTGAACAATATTCACCACAATACAATCCTAAACCATAACAACACAATTCCAACATCATACCAAAAATTTAGTTAAATTCCAAATTACTTCAATATAAGCAGAACCCACATCATAAATCAAAGGAAGAAGCACAAAGCAAGAATTTTACATGACCTAGTGAACAACTCAGTGATCTGCCCCATATAATACTCATTGTACTCAAGAGTCTCCCCATAGATAGGCTCGTGTCTATACCAAGGAGAAACCTAAAGTCCCAACTGCACTCCAGCTTTCCTAGCAGCTTCTATCAACTCTTTCACCACATCACCAGCCCCATTCTTCCAAGAGCTAGACTTCATAGAATAATCAGTATACTCAGAGGGCCAAAGATAGAACCCATCATGGTATTTTGTAGTTAGTGTAACTCTTGAAAATCCATTGTCTTTGGCCACATGGACCCACTGCGTGGCATTGAATGAAGTGGGGTTGAACACTGATAGGTCTGCATGCCGTGTCCCCCATTCTCAAAGTAAATGTAACTATTTGGGTGTTTGGTCTTCCGATCAGCTTGTTTATCAAACTCATGAGCATTAGTAACCTGCATAATACAAGCGGGGAGATAAATATGAGGACATTGTTATTGACTAAGCTATTAAATGTATATAAATTTAGTTTTCTTGAGTCTCAGTAGGTTGAAAATGATTCTTTCCTTCTATGTTTCTATATAATCCTTGTCTACCTCGTTCAAAAGGATAAAATGTTCACTACCCAGTATTAGATCCGTGAAGATCAGTTTTTTTTATCCATTTGCCAATACAAGAATTATATAGTTACAGCCTTAATCACTGGCATCTCATAGTGTCTGACCTTTATTAGCATATGAGTATTTTCTGGTCTTGTTTAAAGACGAGTAATTTCTGGTCTCGTTTAAAGAAACTCCTTGATTCGGAGATCCATGAATTATCAGGGCTGAAGTAATTGAAGTAATACCAACCTTGATTTTTCTCCAGATAATATTATTGACTAAGCTATCATGACTAAGCAGGTTTCTGGTCTTACATATAATATGACCATTCCAATTTCGTCTATTTCAATTGAGTTTTGAATTAATTTTTTGTAATTTCAGTTTGTGTGAAGCTTTATTGCCAAAATGACTTACCTAATTGGAACTTCATTTCTATGATGTCCTAATAAAATTGTTTTCATTGTGTTATAATAGATTATAACGTAGTAGTGTTGGTATATTATCATGGATAAAGATTGGGTACACTTATCAAGGTTATCTTATTCTCTTAAATTTAGAATATTTAAAATATGTATACAAATGCTTTTTAGACGACTTATTTAGCATTTTTTCATAGAGTTTCAGAGGCATATCAATGTGGTGCAAGAAAATTTGCAAATATGGTGCAAGCCATAATGCCCTTGCAAATGTTGCAAAAACCTATTCCACCAACATTTTGATACAATGTATGGGCATTTGATCATTAATGGCATGGATCCTACATATACTAGTTGGGTGTTTCATGGGGAAAAATCGAATACAGCGTCATTGCCTTCTCAAGACGTAAAAAATTTAGAGACATATAGGATTTATAGAGATGCATTTTTTCAGGATGACAATATTGTACAACTCGAGAATGAAGATAGAGAGAAAGACTTTTCAAATTTATATGAGGGCGTAGATATTCCTTTATAACCTGGTTGCACAAAGTATACAAGGATGTCTGCAACCGTTGTCTTATACAAGCTTAAAGCTACATATGGCATATTTGACAACGGTTTCAATGAACTTCTTGATATTATTCGAGATATGCTACCATATGGGAACACGCTTCCTAATTTTTTCAATTCAACAAAAAAGTTATTGAGAACCTTTGATTTAGGGTATGAGAAGATACATGCATGCGTAAATGATTGTTGTTTGTTTAGAAATGATCTAGAGAATTTGGAGACATGTCCTAAATGTACATCTTCACGATGGAAAGTCAATGAATGGACTAAGAAGATTAAAAAAGGGATACCTGCAAAGGTTTCGCGATATTTTTCAATTATACCACAATTTAGAAGAATGTTTAGGTCACTTGATAAGGCAGAATAGTTAATATGGCACTCAAATCACAAAAGTCTAGATGGAAAAATGCGTCATCCAGTTGATTCGTTAGCATGGGAGAGAATTGATCAAAAATGGCCTTGTTTTGCTTCAGAACCACGAAATCTTAGACTTGGCCTTTCTTCTGATGGATTTAATCCCTTTGGTGACCTAAGTTCTAGGTATAGTTGTTGGCCAGTGATACTAGTTATATATAATCTCCCTCCTTGGATATGCATGTCTAAGGAAAATTTATTGTTGACTTTATTAATCCCAGGTCCCAAGCAACCTGGAAATGATATAGATGTGTATCTAGATCCACTAATAGAAGATTTAAAGGAGATGTGGAATATTGGTGTTGAAGTATATGATGCATTTACCAAGTCCACATTCAATTTGAAAGCTGTGTTGATGTGGACAATTAATGATCTTCCGGCTTATGGGAACTTATCAGGATATCCTACGAAAGGCGAAGCAGCATGTCTAGTATGTGGTTTATCCACATGTGCAAAATGGTTGACATGTAGTAGAAAGTTTTCGTACATGGGTCACGGAAGATTTCTTGCACATAATCACCCTTATCGGTCGAAAGAAGCTTGGTTTGATGGAAATAAGGAGTGTAGGCCTAGTCCTAAAATATTAACCGGTCAAGAAGTGGTGTGTTCAATCAAGAATATTAGCAATAATTGGGGAAAAGCCGGAAAAAAAAGACAACTAAAAAAATCAGATTCTAATTGGCCTTGGAAAAAAAAGTCAATATTCTTTGAACTACCATATTGGGAGGTTGGTCATTTTAAACTATTGTGAATTATTTATTTCTTTGCTTAAACTTTTTTTTTTCCTAAATTTATGTTGTTATTTTTCAGACACTATTTTTGCGTCATAATTTGGATGTAATGCACATTGAGAAGAATGTTTTCGAAAGTATACTTGGAACTATTTTGCATGTGAAGGGAAAATCAAAAGATGGGTTAAATTCTCGTAAGGATTTAATCAATATGGGTATTCGAAAGGATCTTCATCCAGAATTGAAAGGCAATACATGTTACCTCCCCGCTGCATCATATATGCTATCCAAAAAAGAGAAAGAATTATTTTGTAAGAGGCTATTTGATTTAAGATTACTTGATGGTTCAAAGTGTATATCATTAGCAGATAATAGGATTTTAAATCTGAAATCTCATGATTGCCATGTGCTCATACAACAATTGCTATCAGCTGCATTACAAGGACTTTTACCTAGAGGACCAAGAACTACAATTTTTCGACTGTGCATTTTTCAACAAAATCTGTCAAAGAGTCATCGATAAAAATAAATTAGAAAAACTTGAGGAGGATGTTGAGGAGGATGTTGTTGTGATTTTGTGTATGCTAGAAAGGTATTTTCCTCCATCCTTTTTTGACATAATGATTCATTTAACCATCCACCTTGGGCATGAGGTTCGTATTGGTGGACCTGTGCAATATCATTGGATGTATCCATTTGAGAGGTAAATTACTATTATACTTTTCTAAGTATTCAAACTATCTTCTTCTAATTCCTTAGATATCTCATGACTATTATATGATTTATAAGGTTTATGAAAATACTTAAAGGATATGTGAGAAATTGTTCAAGACCTGAGGACTGCATAGCAGAGCATTATTTAGCTGATGAATGTATGCATTTTTGTAGTGTTTACATGAAACAAGCAGCTGAAGTAGGTGTTCGACATACTCGAAATGAGGATTTTGAGAATGAAACAATTATTGATGGACGTCCAATTTCTGAAGGAAAGTCAAAGATTTTGAGTCCAGAAATGTTGAGGGTCACTAATCGTTATGCGCTGTTTAATAGCATTGCAATTGAGCCATATATAATGTAATGAAGTTAGTTAATTTATTAGTTTAACATTGAATTCTCATAAACTTCTCTTACTATTTGTTTATTTTATTTTCATTTAAGACGCATAAAGAGGAGATTAAGAATTCAGACAGCCGTATTGCCAAGAATGAATCCTTATTACAAATGAGACATATGGAGACTTTCACTTCATGGTTTGCGGAGAAAGGCAAACAAGACAATTGTAACATGTCTAATACATTGAAATGGCTTTCACGCCGGCCTCGGCCTAGATATGATGTGATATCACATTCTGATTATGTTATGAATGGACATCGATTTCATACAACCGGTGTTTCTATTGAAGCACAAACTATTTGTCGATCTAGCGTGAAGGATATAAGCCATGTAGTTGGTAAAATATCTTATTATGGGGTTATCAGAGACATAATTTTACTAAATTATCGTAGTTTTAAAGTTCCTTTGTTTCATTGTGATTGGGCAAATATAGATAGTGGAGTCAAGATTGAAGAAGGATTTACATTAGTAAATCTTCATAGAGGACAATATCAATTTGAAAGAGATCCATTTATTTTAGCATCACAAGTAAAACAAGTTTTTTATTTTAGAGAGAACGATTCATCTAGTTGGTATATTGTATTAAAGGCACCTGCAAGAGGATTTCATGAGTTAGAAAATTATGATGAGGAGGCTTATACTCCATCCACATTAGATACATTAAGACTTGATACGATCGTTGAAGATGAAAGTTATGTAAGACATGATTGTGAGGGCATTGATATTGAATATGGTAATTGTATATCTTTAATATTCGTTCTTGCTCTGTTTTAATTTACTATTTATGTGATATCGTATTGATGCTAATGTCTGTAATGTCTCTAATTTGATTATGTCTTGCTTTATTTTTGTAGATATAAATGATGAAAGCTGAGTTTTGTAGATGTGAATGTTCGTACGAGTGGACAAAAGATGACAAACACTGGTGAAGTAAGTTTCCAGATTGTACATATAGTAATTATTAATGATTAAAAAGTAAATTAAAGTAATACATTGCTTGTTTTTCTTATTTGTTTAATGCAGTTATCTAATCAAGGCTATAAAAAAGCAAAATGAGCTAAAAAAGCTTCAAAAGTTATTGCTACAAGAGAAGGGAATGAAGGGATAAGAATATCAGAGGAGGTTCTAATTCTATTCCAAACATACAAGAAAATGAGGTGCAACATGATGTAGAAGTGTTACCAAATAATGCTAGTGCTACTAGAGAAGGAAAAAAGGGAAGGGGTTGAGCAAAATTGAATTATCTCAACAAGGGAAAATGTGCAAAAGTACCAGTAGAGTTTAACGAAAGAGGGCAGCCAATTTGTAAAGGTTCAACTAAGTTATCATCATTTATTGGGACCACAGCTAGGGAACTTATACCAATTACATGGAAAAATTGGAAAGATATTAGCGAAAGTCTTCTTGATGACATATGGGAGCTTGTGCAGGTAATATATACTCCACGTTTCTTATATAATTTGAATTAATTTACTATTAATATTGTTTACGTTGATGCAGCAAAAGTTTGATGTTGATACTTGTCATAGAAAATACATAATGCAAAAAAAGGGAAATAATTGGCGAGATCATCAATCTAACGTGCTTAAAGCAATCAATGACAGAGGGAAAACAATTGGCATGACACGAGTTGCTGCTCTCCTCAAGCCCGATAATGTTGAATCAATGGAAAAATGGCGAGCATTTGTCAAAGAATGCAATTCGCAACCGTATCAGGTACTAATAACTACATTACTTACTGCATCTGCTCTACATTCCTAATAAAAGTTTTGCTTACACAGTATTAATTAATTTTGTAGGAAATGAGTGAAAGATTCAAAAAGATGAGAGCAAATCAAAATATAATGCATACAACAAGTAGAAAGGGCTTTGCTCGTTTAGAAGTTGAAATGGTAAAAATTTGCTAAATTCAAAGTTAAATTTGCTTGAAAAATTATAAACATATACGTTATCACATATATGAAATATGTAAAGTGCAGCGTGCCGAAAGTGAAGACCCAGATTCCATAACAAGAGATGATGTTTATATTCGAGGACATACGCGAAGAAATGGTTTGCCTATTAATGAATCAGCTGGGTAAATATTGGTAACAATATTGCTTTTAGTAATATCTGATAACTCAAAGCTTATATTTATAATTGTAGCCTATTAATTTATTTCCCCATATCAGAACAAAATAAAAGCGTGTTCAGAGACGATTACCTCTCTGGACCAACACTCCCTCAAAGATGATGGTGTTGCTAGAGTTGTTGGTCCAGAACATCGCGGACGATTAAGAGGTCTTGGTTTCAGTGCGACTCCTTCAAAGTTGAATGCTTTGGTGCATAATCATGACTTGCAAACTCAAGTCCAAGAATTGAGAGATGAAATTAAAGAATTAAAAGCTTTGTTTCAAATGAAGAGTAAGATTGTTGTACAAGAAGATGACGTAAGTAAAAAAAGCTGAATGTTATTCTAAATTACATATACTTTCTATATTCAAAATAATAAATTGTACAATTGCATATGAATTTTATAGCTTAGAGACAAAAGCTTGAATGGTTCAGATAACCTTCAAAATAAGAAATCCAAATTGTTATCTTGGTTTCGGAAAGCTGATATTGTTGCAAAAGGTGAAATCGCATCAACAAATCCAAGTGATTTAGTGCATCATGTACCACTTGGTAATGAATGTTGGAGACTTTGGGTTAATGAAGTGATTGATAACATCAGTTTATATCATCCTACACGTGAGCTTTTTCTTCTTGAAGATGCATTAGGAAGTACAATAGCATGGCCCATTAGGTACATCGAAGTGGATTCGTTTTAATCACAACAAAGGTATGCTTGACTTCTTTTCTATTTTAATTCCATTTACATTTACATTGAATCTCAATTGAAGACTAGGTTGCTTAAAATCAAGAAGTTGATGGGCGGTTGACGAAATCTGACACTTTTTGAGAAGTATCGAGATGAATTTGTTTTGAATGTTATACAGAAATGTACAGAGCTTTCCATTTGATATGGTTTGGTTGCTTACTATAAAATGTGGTATGGATTGTTTGGTATTGTTATTAATATTTTTTGAGATTGAATTGCATGTATCTCACTTTGTATTTTTCGAAATACTTACCCTTTTTAGGATTTTATTTACTGATTAATGCGAACAAGATGGATGATGGTAATTGGTGGTGTCGTATGTTGTGGATTAATGGAAAGATCTTAGAAGTAAATTTGCCTTTTGTGTGTGTGTGTAAAGTTTTTAAAATCTTGAAACGTTATTATTCATTTCCTATGAATCATGATGTTATGTTTAGAAATTATTGCAATTTTTCTTTAGTTCTTATTTCAAGGTACTTGTATAAGTTTCTCTTTACGTTATGCAATAAGTTATGGATTTGAATGTAGCTCGTGTCTTGTAAATTTCTTCTTTAGTTCTCTTTGTGATGCTCACGGAACCATGTTATGGAATTTTGTTTGGATTTATATTTTTAGGTGTGCTGGTAATTAACTAAATCGACAAAATTTTTAAAAATTATGTTAACTTTTACAGCGTGCTGATTCCGTAATAAGATAATTAACTTTATTTACGGCATGCATCTGCACGTCTTGAATATCCTTTTAGGGTGCTATTTACGTTATTTACGGCGTGCACCTAGGCGCCGTACATGACTATGTTTTTACGGAGTGCAAATGCACGCCGAAAAAAGTTGAGAATATTCTTTTACGGCGTTTAGATGCACGCTGTAAAAGATAAAACGGCGTGCGTAGAAGGCGTACATTGCACACCATAAAAAGTAATCAGTTTTTACGGCATTGTTTTATACGGTATGCACCCGCACGCCGTAAACTGTTTTTTACGGTGTGCAATGCACGTCGAGAAAAGTTTATTTTGTTGTAGTGAATATAATGTTCAAAACATACGCATAAAAGATGTAGTATGGATTTTGGGATAAAATAAATGATCTAACAGAAAAGAAAGAGTTGCACACGATCCTAAATTAGCACATTTACGTAGTTGTACAACTATGCTCATTAGCACATGCACTTTCGTCTACTTGAATGTGATCGCACAAGATATGGGATTTTGATCCTTTTGCTCATGTTCATCACTTGCACTTTTCGTAATCATGGAAATCAATGAATTAATCCTAGTTTTATTCCATATGATAAGCAATATATATGGACATGTTTGTTAACATCAATTGTTTTCAGTCCTGATGCTTTTACAATGGATAGATTATGTGTCTCTTCAGTTCAGGACATGGTCGAACAAACTGAAATATTCGTGCTAGGGTTGGAAGATATATACAAGAGCCTGGATGAGCATCTTTTCTATGATAGACAGAAGTGAAAACCAATACAAAGAACACAAACAAAGCCCGTTGATTCTCGTAGAAGGACAGGAATTTACAATCAAGACTCGTTGGGTCGTGCACAAATATTGAGAAATGATCCCTGATTTAAAAAAAAAAAATAATCATATATCCACCGACAAGAATTGGACTTACCCTAATTCGATACTATTATTCAATAAACCTCCAACAATTAAAATGACTTGTTCAATATCTAAACACGTTAGTAAGAAGTTCAAAAATCTAGAAGTTATGGACACAAGTAAAAAAATTAAAGGTTACACAATTTTCCAATTATGGTTAAAGAACAACTAAAATTGAATGACATAAATTCTTAACCTCGAAATTTGCCAAGACACATGCCATTATTTAAACCAGTTTATGTTGATTTATTTCACTTTGAATGTGTGCTAAATGTCTGGTAATTATTTACGGTCTTTGTATGGTAAAAGTATTTTTAATAGCTCACTTTTAAATCCTAAAAATGTTCATAAGTAACCTATGAAAGATATAGTGTGGATTTTGCGATATAATAAATGGTCTAACTGAACAAAATAGAAGCACTGGATCCTAAATAATCATATACATTTATGTAGTTGCACAACTGTGCTCATTTGTCTACTTGGATGTGATCGCCTGTGTGTTTATATACACAAACACTTGTTTGTTAACATCATTTGATGAATCAATTGACTCCTGTATTTCACTGGTAAAATCCTCATAATTCAACTGGAGTAGCAGAAATAAAACCCCAGTAATTGCAGCTTTAGTTTTCAAAACCAAAGATTACTTATAAAAAATTAAGTTAATTCAAGACTCCGTAAGGTGTATAAGCATATACCTTTTAGGGTATTAAGATACTCTTTAATTTTGAATAGGATAACATTTTTTTAAGACTTTGGGAGAGAGACTGATATTGTTACAATGCGAAGACATATAATCCTGATGCATTTGTCATGGATATATTCTACGGCTCTTCAGTTCAGGTCATGGTCGAAGAAACTGAAAAATTCATGCTAAGGTTGGAAGAAATATACAAGTGCCTGGATGAGCAACCTTTTGAGGGTGGACAGAAGTGTAAATCAACAAAAAGAGCCCAATCAAAACGTGTTGATTCTTGTTGAAGGACGGGAATTCACAATCATGACTCGTTCGCTCATGCACAATTAATGCAAAATAATCCTAGGTAAACAAAATAGTTTATTCTGAAAAATATCGATATTGGACAGACAAGAATCGGAACTATCCAAATTCGATAATGTTATTCAATAAATCACCAACAATCAAATAACTTGTTCAATATTCAAATACATTTGCAAGAAGTTGAAAAGTCTAGAAGTTCACGACACAAGTCAGCAAAATAAATATTGCACAATTTTCCAATTATGGTGAAAGAAAACTCAACTGAAATAAAAATGACAAAAATTCTTAACCTCAAAATCCAACAAGACACGTGGCCAATACTTAAATTAAACCGGTTTATATTGATTTATTCCTGTTAGAAAGTGTGCTAAATGTGTTGTAATTATTTACATTTTTTGTATGGTAAAAGTGTTTTTAGTAGCCGAGTTTCTAATCCTATAAATATTCAAAGCATAAGTATAAAAGATATTGTCGCATGGACTTCACTATAAAATAAATAGTCTAGCTGAATAGAAGAGAAGCACTTGATCCTATATAAACATATACATAGTTGTACAAATATGCTCAATGACGCATGCAATCTGGTTAACTTGAACACACGCGTGTTGCACATTATATGGCATTTTGATCCTTTTAGTTCATACTCATCCCTTGTACTTTTTGGAAAGCAAGGTAATTAATACAACCGTAGTTTTGTTCCATACGATAAGCAACATATGTATACTTGTTTGTCAACATCAATTGATGGATTAATTGATCACTCCTATATTTTCAGTAATGAAATCTCACACTTCAACGTGAATAGCAGGATAAGAACAGTTTTTGTTTTCAAAACCCAGGATCTTTTATTGAAAAAATTAAGTTATTTCGAGCCATTATAACTTCCATTGGATTGACAACAAAAAGAAGGGTAGATAACTCTATGAGCTTTACATTTAGGGTATAAGATATTCTTTAATTTTCAGTAGGATAACATTTTTTAAGACTTTTGGAGGGAGATCGATATTGTTACGATACGATGACCTTTAATCCCGATGCTTTTCCCATGACGGATTCTAAGGCTCTTCAGTTCATGTTATGGTCAAGCAAACTGAAGAATTCATGCTAAGGTGGAACATATGTACAAGAGCCCAGATGAGCATCCTTTCTAAGGTGGACAGAAGTGAACATGAAAAAACACAATAAAAATCCGTTGATTCTCATTGAAGGATGGGAATTCGCATTCAAGACTCGTTGGTTCGTGCACAATTACTGCAAAATAATCCTCGTCATATATATAAAATTGTTTATTCCCAAAAATGTCGATATTGGACCGACAAGAATTGGAACTACCCGAATTCGATACTGTTATTCAATAAATTGCCAACAATTAAAATGACTTGTTCAATATTTAAATACATTCACAAGAAGTTCAAAAGTCTAGAAGTTCACAACACAAGTCAATGAAATAAATATTGCACAATTTTCCAATTATGAAAAAAAAAAACAAATGAAAAAAACAATGACAAAAGTTCTTAACCTTGAAATCCGACTAGATACGTGGCCAATATTTAAATTAAACCAGTTCATATTGATTTATTCAAATTTGAAAGTGTGCTAAATGTGTTGTAATTATTTACACATTGTTGTACGGCAAAAATGTTTTTAGTAACCTACTTCTAATCCTATAAATATTCAAAACATAAGTATAGTAGTTGTCTTATGGACTTTGCGATTAATTAAATAATCTAGCTAAATAAAAGAGAAGCACTTGATCCTACATAGGTACATATACGTAGTTGCACAAATATGCTCAATAACGCATGCACTTTGGTTTACTTGAATATGATCTCACGTGAATTGCACGTGATATGACATTTTGATCTTTTGGTTCGTATTCATCACTTGCACTTTTTGCTAAGCAAGGTAATTAATACAAGCCTAGTTTTGTTCCATATGATAAGCAACATATGTATACTTGTTTTTTAACATGGATTGATGGATCAATTGACTCCTATATTTTGAGTAATGAAATCTCACAATTCAACTTGAGGAGAAGAAATGAAACAAGACCAAGAGTACTAAACCCAGTTTTTGTTTTCAAAACCAAAGATTTCTTTAAAAAATTAAGTTATTTTCAGCCTTTATGACTTCCATTGGATTGACAACAAAAGAAGGGTAGATCAATCTGAGAGCTATATATTTAGGGTATAAGATATTCTTTAATTTTCAATAGGATAACATTTTTAAAGACTTTTGGAGAGAGACAGATATTGTTACAATGTGAATACATATAATCCTGATGCTTTTCCCATGGATGGATTCTATGGCACTTTAGCTCAGGTAATGGTGAAATAAACTGAAAAATTCATGCTAAGGTTGGAAGACATATACAAGAGCCTGGATGAGCATCCTTTTTAAGGTGGACAGAGGTGCAGATCAACACTAAGAACACAAT